CATCTCTACATGACCTCACGACAGGCTGGCCCCCTCAGCCTCTCCCAGGGCATCCTGGACACCAGGCATTGTCACTTCTATGTTGTGTCCGCAGGATGGCCCTTCTGTGACTAGAAAGGAAGGGGACAAGGGACCCCCTCTGCTTCACAGTTTACATGCTGGTGAAGCACTGGCTGCTCTGCCCCAGACCGGCTGCCCAGCTTGATCTCTAACACCTGCCCTCACCCAGTCTTCTCAGGCTGGGCCTCCCCTGTCCAGGTAACGAAGACAAACTCAAACACGCAGTAGAAAAACTTCAGCTGCCAACAAGCTCGCCCCAGAGGGACGCACTCGGCAGCCTAAGTAACTCAAAGCATGTTTATTCTCACGGATGCTCATGCTGATCTTGGTGTTTGCCAGCCAGGTGCAAACAAAAGAGGAAGAGGTTGTTGAATTCCTCCTGTGTGGTGGGAGCCAGGGAGGGAGGGAGGGAAGGGATGGAGCTCTTTTGTTTTTAACAGATTTCTAGCACTATGTTGAGAGGAGACAGCACACTCTGAATCTGAAAGTGGAGTATGTACCAACTGGTGGTGTAATGGTTACAACTGGTGGTGTAATGGTTGGGCTGGGACCCACTAGGTCAACAGTTCGAAACCACCAGCAACAAAAAGGGAGAAAGTCAGTGTCTTCTACTCCCATAAGGAATCTCAGTCTTGGGAACTCACAGGGAGGGGCAGTTCTACCTGCCCTATAGGGTCACTTGGGTCAGCATCTCTTGATGGCAGTGAGTTTGGTTTGGGGTTTTGACTTTGTGGAGGGTGGGTAGCTGGCACCATCGGAATCATTGGGTGGAAGGGGAGACTGAGGCGCATCTAGATATTACCTTGATTGGGGAGCTTGAGAGGAATTGCTGGTGGTCATCCTGAGGTCAAAGCCACCCCAAGGGACCCCCAGGATTCTGGCACTGTGACTTCTGATTCCAGTCCCTCCCGTCACTGCCTACCCCTGGGCTCTCCATGTCTCTCTCCAGGGTCCTGATGCTGTCCAGCTCCAGGTTTTCTTGCGTCCACAACTGAGGGTGGCCTTTACACCAGCCTTTATGGGAGCAACACGTAGGAGCAGTGTGTTGGGTTGGCTTGTATAGAGAAACAAAACCAGCGACACTCATCGATGTATGAGAGAGAACTTATCAAGAAGACAACCCCATTCCATCTAACTTGAGCCCGTGGGTCTGAGGCTAGCCGGAACCCCTTCAGACACTCGTAGCTGCAGGTCACTGAAAGAGAAAGGTGAATTGAGAAGCGGCGTGATCACAGGCCTCTGCATGCAGAGATGCATGAGTCCCAAGTCTGTAGGAGCATGGCAGGGCGCTGCCCCAGGGTCAGCAGCTCCCAGGGGCCACCCCTAGGTGCAGACACAGAGTCGAAGCAAGCAGGAGGGCAAAGGGCAAGAGGAAGCAAGGGAAATGCCCAGTGTGTCTCATAAAAAGGCCATGCCACCAAGGAGGCACCTCCAGGCTACCACCTGGAGACAGACTGGCTTCCACCCCTGCTGCCACACCGGTACCATTAAGTTGGCATAAAATCGACCCCCCACAAGCTCCTCCATGGGAAACAAAACAGAGACTCTACGCCTTTGGCAAGGGGAAAAGCCCATTACTCTTTCTTCGTTAAGTCTACACCCTCCTTAAGAAGTGACCAGATCGGTTCCCTCTGCCCAGTGAGCTACCTTAGCCTATATGGGAAGATATAGCTGGTAGAGAACTCACAGGCTCCATGCAAATTCTGTTCCTGGGTTTTCTAAAGACAAATCATCTTTCCAAGCGTGTCAACTGCAGCCACATAGGCTTTGGGGGCAAACATGACTGACAGGTCAGGAGACCCCACTGCAGGCCCTGTCCAGTAGGGACTCCCCACCCAGCCTGTGTGAGTCAACCTTGGAAAGGGCCTGTATTCATTTTCCAGGACTGCCACAACACAAACTAGGCAGCTGAGAAGAGAAATGTATTACATTGGGCAGTTCTAGAGAAGTCTGAAGTCAGTATGCCAGCTCTCTGTCCACTCCGGGAGAAGAGCCAGCCCTGCCTCCTCCGGCTTGTGACAGCTTGACCTTCCTTCACCTTCCTGGGTCAAGAGGTCACTCGATCACACGCCTTTCTTCCCCCATGTGCCTTCTCTCCTCTTTTGCAAGCACAGCACTCAGATGGGATGAAGACTCACCCACTCCTGTATGCCTAGTGGTTACACATTGGGCTGCGGCCCACAAGGTCTGCAGTTTGAAACCCCCAGCCAGTCCACAGGTGATAGAGGGGGCTTTCTATTCCCCCAAACAGTTACAGTCTCAGAAATGCTCAGAAATGCCCAGGGGAAGTTCTACCCTCTGCTGGAGGGTCACTATGAGTTGGCATCGACTCAATGGCAGCGAGTTTGGTTTTTGAAAGTCTGGTCTGAGGGAGCCCTGGTGGCACTGTGGGTTAGGCATGGGGCTGCTAACTGCAAGATCAGTGATCCTGACCCACCAGCCGATCCTTGGGAGAAAGACAAGGTTGCCTGCGCCTGTAACAATTTACAGGCAGGAAACCCTATGGAGTGTAATTCCACTTGCCCCTTTCAGATTGCTAGCACTTAGAACGGACCCGATGGCAGTGCAGGAATACCAGCTGTGATCTCCTGCTCCTTTAACCGCTAACGTCTGCAGAGACACGCTTCCCCAGCAGTGCCACTTCTCCGATACCAGCGGCTAGGAGGTCAGCACATCTTTGGGGGGACACAATGCAATCCCACAGCACTACCTTTGACTCACAATCCCCAGGTCCACCTGGCCCGGACTCACATCCCACAAGCCCCCGAGGCTAGGGGGGCAGTGCTGCTGGAGGGGCTGGCTGGGGGACCACAGCTGGCTGAGTACTTTTGGTAAGTGGCTCCCCGGTCCCACTTTTGCCAAACATGGTGCGTCTGATTTCCCCAGGAAAGGGATATAATAGGCAGTGTGGCATTTTGACAAGGTGACAGGATTGACAGGCAGCGTGAATTCTTGTGTCTGAGACTCTGAAGAGGAGAAGTGATTCAGCTGCCGCCACCAGAAGAAAATAATTCGGGAAACCCGACAGTGGGAAGGAAGACTGATCCATGGACTGGGGCCCCTTCGTGGTCTGGGAAATGGCTGTTGTCGGTGGCTGCAAGAGGAAGTGCACGCAAACGGAGAAAGCCAGGCAGGGAAGATGAGCTGAGGACGAGGAGGGGCTGGCTGGCAAGGAGGGAACACACTGGGAGGTTGAGAGGGACCCTTAAGGATCGGCCAGCATTATTGGCATTTCTCCCCATTCTTGGGGGTGGGGAGGATGTAGATGTGGGAGGCCTGTTTCAACCCCACCACCTCCCCTCATGCTCACTTGGGTTTGAGATGTAGGGACACTCTGACATCTGCCTAAGGAAGGACACAGCCCAGCCCAACCAAACTCACTGCCATCAAGTCAAGCTGACTCCGAGACCCTCCAGGACAGAGTGGGACTGCCCCTGTGGGCTTCTGACACTCTCTCCCAGAGCAGAACAGCCGGTGGCTTCAAACTGCCGACCTTTCAGGTAGTAACCCATCGTATAACACACTCTGGCCCCAGCCCAAAGGCATCCCACAATCACATTTCAGCAGAAGAAACAATGCAGCAAGCCCCTAAACTCTGGGGAGCCCTGGTTTGCCTTCAGCTCCACGTCTCTTGGGCCTCAAACGCAAGGGTGCAGGCGTCCCATTTCACGGTGACTCCACACCCCTCCTTGCTTGTTAATGGGTGCAGACGAGCGGACACGTCTTTAGTGTGAGACCCTGGAGCTCACAGAGAAGGGAAGGGGGGATCTGGATGTTGTATCACCAGCGGAGCCTAGATCTCTGTTGAGTCTCCAGAGAGAGCAGGGCAAGTATTGGGGCTCTAGAGCCTGGCCTCCAGCCCCAGGCGGCAGCCAGGACGCGGTCTTGGGTGGCTGCATGGGTGCCCTGACATGTCAGTTGGAACTTCTGACTCCCTGCTTGTGTAAAGCGTGGGTGGTTCTGCTTGTGACTCTTGGCGAGACCTCAGAGCAGAAATGCTCACCATGTGGAAGGCAGAGCCCTGGTCCTCAGTGCCCAGGCAGGGAGGGATGGGGTCTGCATTCCTAGGTACTTTCCCCAAGGGAAAGCCCCTGCCCTTGCCCAGCTCCCCTCTGCCCCCCAAATAGACCAAACCAGGGGTGAAGCAGAACCCTCTCCTAGGCCCAGAGGCTTGCCTCACCTGAGTGTGTCACCCTGGGCAGCCCAGCTCCGGCCCAGGCACAGGGCCTCTTAGTGGGCAGAGGGAACATTTGCTCCAGCTTCCCAGGCAGCCAAGTTGTGCCTGCTGGGCCCTCACGCCGCCTAGGCCTGCTGAGTGCTGGAGGGTCCCAGGTTGAGCAGCACAGGCAGCTCATCCCCAAAGCCCCAGGCTGGCTGACAAGACCCAGATCTGGAGTGAATGCCTAGGTTAGGGGGAAAACCCTGGTTAAGGGGAAGGAGTGTGCTCCCCTGGCAGGGCTGGTGCGTGCCCAGGTGTGGGTACAGGTTGGGTGTGAGTGTGTTATTGCAGGTGCCCAGAGACCCCGTGGTTGGGGAGGTGTGGAGAGAGGCAAACCGTGTTTTCTGAAGCATCCGCTCATCTGTGACTTGACTTCAGGAAGCGCTGACAGCGAAGGAATGGGATTCCCTGAGATCCCAACTTTCCCAGGGAGCGGTGGAAGGGGCCCTGCTGGGCAGGGGCCGCCCATCCAGGTCGTGTCAGATGAGAGGCTGCACCAAAAGGACGAGGACCAGCGCAGAGCTGTGCAAGCGTCCCTAGGCTCCAGCCCAGCGGGACCATGAGGGGGGCTGTGGGGTGGCACTAGCACTTAAGCTGAGGTTTCCATGGTACCCCAGATTGCTTTTTCACAGAGCCACTCCCCCACCCCACCCCACCCCCAAAATCATAAAACCCAAATAAGTGTCCAGCCCTAACACGGTGTGCTGTGTTTGCTTTTCAGGAATGAAGTTCAGCATCAGGCTACAGCCACCCCGCCAAGTAAGTTCTGAGTCCCATAAATCCGAGCGCAGAGCCTGGGGGACACTGGGAGGGAGAGGGCGCACATTGCGAGCTCAGGCTGAATCCATTCTTGGAAAGAAAAATGTGTTTGGTCCGTCCCAGGAGCCTCAGGAACAAAGCCTGAGGCTCTGGGCCCATGAATTACCCTTTGCTGTGAGATGGCTGCTCTGGGCTGAGCTAACAGAGGCAGTAAATCGGGGCCAACCCCCCAGCAGGCCTCCAGCTCCCTACTCACCCCCACCGCGCAGAGGTTTCTGGGAGGCCTGCACCATCTTGTGGCCAAAAGGGAAGTTGCATCACAGGCCCCATACTGTGGGCTCAAGACCAGCACTTCTGCTGGACAGGGATAGTAGGCAGGGCAGTAGGCCAGGAGCAGGCCAGGGACAGAGAGGCCACATGCCACAGAACCAGCCTGCCCACCTCCCCCTCACCAAGGGTGGAACTCAGGCCACTGAAGAGGTAGGGCCTGGTGTGTGTGGCCCTGGGTTCAGCTGTCCTGGCCAGCTTGGTGACCACTGTGCTCTTGCCCTAGGCCTACCCACCAGGCAGTTCCCAGGATGGTGACTCAAAGGTGCCTACACAGAGGGACACCCGGGGCTGGCCCAGTCTGGTCCCCAGGGCCCCCAACGCACAGTGGGACAGCCGCGGGCCTCTGGCGCATCGCCCGCCTGGACCTCATCCCAAGGCCAGGGCTCCACTGCGATTCCAGCAGCGGCGGCGGAGGCTGCTGATCAAGAAGATGCCAGCCGCTGTTACCACACCCGCCCACAACCTGACCAGCACGCTGGCCTGGCCGGGCCCCCGGGAGCCGAGCAGCCACTGGGTCCACCTGCAGCAGCGGCAGCAGGAACGCAAGAGGCTGATGCACGAGGCGTGTGCCAAGTATCGGGCGAGTGGCAGCCGCCGGGCCGTGACACCACGCCACGTGTCCCGCATCTTCGTGGAGGACCGCCACCGCGTGCTCTACTGTGAGGTGCCCAAGGCTGGCTGCTCCAACTGGAAGCGGGTGCTCATGGTGCTGGCTGGGCTGGCCGCGTCCACCGGCCACATCCAGCACGACACGGTGCACTACAGCAGTGCCCTGCGGCGACTGGACACCTTCGACCGCCAGGGCATCCTGCACCGCCTCAGCACCTACACCAAAATGCTCTTCGTGCGCGAGCCCTTCGAGAGGCTGGTCTCGGCCTTCCGGGACAAGTTCGAGCACCCCAATAGCTACTACCACCCCGTCTTCGGCAAGGCCATCCTGGCCCGCTACCGGGCCAACGCCTCACGGGAGGCGCTGCGGAGCGGCTCCGGGGTGAGGTTCCCTGAGTTTGTCCAGTACTTGCTGGACGTCCACCGGCCCGTGGGCATGGACATCCACTGGGACCACGTCAGCAGGCTCTGCAGCCCCTGTCTCATCGACTATGACTTTGTGGGCAAATTTGAAAGCATGGAGGACGATGCCAACTTCTTCCTGAGTCTGATCCAGGCGCCCCGGAACCTGACTTTCCCCCGCTTCAAGGACCGACACTCGCAGGAGGCACGGACCACGGCTGGGATCACCCACCAGTACTTCGCCCAGCTCTCCACCCTGCAGCGGCAGCGGGCCTACGACTTCTACTACATGGACTACCTAATGTTCAACTACTCCAAGCCCTTTGCAGACCTGTACTGAGGGTGGGCCCTGCCTCTGGCGCCCCCTGCCCAGGGCAGGAGTTGGGGTGCATCGTACCCAAGTGGGGGACAGAGGTCCTGGTCCATGGGTGGGACCCTTTCCTTCCCTCCTGGGATGGAGAAGCCCTTGGGAGTAGAGTGGACACCCCAGGTATCCCATCTGCCCTCACTCCATTCGGCCTAATGGCGCAAGGACCAGGAAAGGATGGGGGCCTGGCAGCAAGGGATGTCTGGTGGCCCCTGAACCATTGCCTCCTTCCAAACCACACGGTGTGCGCTTTTCTACAGCCCCAGGAGGTCCCCTGGGGACCCGGCTCTAAATAAAGCACATGGTTTCCAGAGCAGCTGTGTCTGTCCTATGGTGGTGTGGGAACAACCTCTAGCCCTTGTCCATGCCACATAGAGCTGCCCGCCCCCCCAGGTGGCCCGAAACAGGTCCTGCAGGCCACAGAGTAGGGAAGTACAGAGTGGTTGGCTTTGTGTGTGAGGTGGACAAAGAGCTAGCTATTCCCCAATAAAGACCAGTGGCAGACTCGCCTCACAATCAGACAGCCCCTCACCATCAGGCAGCCCCCCCACACAGTAAGACAGTCCCCTAAGAGTCTGAGAGATGCCTCAGTCAGACAGCCCCCCACAGTGATACAGCCCTTTCACATTCAAGGAGCCCCCTCACAGTTAGCTCCCTCACAGAGAGACGCTTCACAGTCAAACAGCCCTCTCACAGTCACACCTCACAGTCACACAGGCCCCTAATAGACAACCTTCTCACAGTCAGACAGAGGACTCCTCACCGAGAGGCCCCTCATAGTCAGACCCCTTAGCCAGCTTCCTACCAGACAGCCTCTTCAAAGTCAGAGCCCCCTCCCTCACAGTTTGACCGCCCTCTGTCAGACAGATGCCCCATAGTCAGACGGCCTCTTCACAGTCAGACAGCCCTCACAGTCATGTAGCCATTGCACAGTCAGATCCCCCTCCCAGGCTGGCAGTCCCTTTACAGTCACACAGCCCCTTCACAGCCAGCCCCTCACAGCCAGACAGCTCCCTCTCAGCCAGGCAGCCCCTTTACTGTCACACAGACACCTCAGGCCCCTCACAGTCAGACAGCCCTTTCCCATTCAAAGAGCCCCCTCACAGGGTCATGTGACTGAGGCTGTGGTGGGAACCCACTGTGTGTCTTGCCCGTTTCCTAGGGTCTGTCCATCTGCCTGTCGCTCTGAGTTTGTGTGTGGTTTGGGGCCGGGAGGTTGGTTTGGCTGTGCGCTCCGGTGAGGGGCGCTTTGCTGGCTCCCGAGTGGATGTCTGTCAGAGCCCCACTGAGCTGGACTCGCGGCCTCCTTCACAGCCTCTGGATGTGCTGAGGGAGCAGAGAGCCAAGGATGGCGCCTGCCTGCTTTGGGCACAGTATGGGGGCCCCTGAGTGGATGTGAGGCCTCCCGGGGCCACCCTGGACAGCGTCCTGGGCCACGTGGCAGGCAGAACTCGGGGAGAAGGAAGGAGGCGGTCGACTGTGGATGCCGAGGCCAGTTAGTACTTCCTCAGTGAGGGGAGGAGGTGGGCTCAAACCGTGGCCCAGAAGCAGCCACCCTGGGCTCGGGTTCAGAGTGAGACAGCCCAAAGTGCAGGGAAAGTGTCATTCAGCCGGAGGCAGTGTCACTGTGTCATCTGGTCAGCAACGGAGACACCTGGGAGGCCAGCTGGGAGCGGCTAGAGGGCCACTCTGCCTGCTGTGGCTGCTCAGACACAATCAGAATTGCCTTGGGGAGCCATTCCCACAATGTGTTCTCTGTGTGTGTGTGTGTGTGTGTGTGTGTGTGTGTGTGTGTGTGTGGGAGAGAGAGAGAGAGAGAACACGTGTGTATGTGTGTGCTGTGTGCACTGGAAACTTACAGCCTCACAGAGGCCTGCTTTAAGGTATAAAAACACCCTGATTTCAAATACGATTTAAAGAGAACATTTATTATTAAGTCTTAAAAAGAAAAGACAAGACAAAGACATATCACCTGGACCGGGAGACCATTAACACAAGGTCATACTGGGATCCAAAGGTTTGCAGAGAGCTGAGACTTAAAGGAGATATGGGAAGGCAAAGGAAACGCCCAGAGCATGATTGGTGGCAGATCAATACATCACAGTTGCAGGTGGGGCTGCAGAATCAGGAACAGGACTGGGACTGGGGCGTTGGGTTAGAAGATTTGTCCCGGGGCCTCTGACCAAGGAGGGCAAGGTGACCTTCATCAAGAACACACCCAGGCCAGCCTCTAAGAGAGATTGCCCCTCCCCGGGCCCACAGGGGCGGGAGGGAATCTACGTTCAGATGCACTCTGACTGAGGCCAAGACTCTTCACATCCATGGACAATGGTCGAAGGAATGCTATGGAGGCTTAACCCACCAGAAACTGCAAACAGATTGTGGACTTTCATAGCTATACACAGCCTCTGGGAACCTGGTGCTCGAAGTTAAGCTCTAATGCTTGCTGCCATCGAGGCAATTCTGACTCATAGGACAGAGTAGAACTGTCCCTGTGGGTTCCTGAGACTAAATCTTGACGGGAGTTGAAAGCCTCATCTTTCTCCTTCAGAGTGGCTGCAGAGTTTGAACCACTGATCTTGTGGTTAGCAGGTAAGTGCATGGCCCACTGTGCCACCAGGGCTCCTCTTCAGCTTGAATAGTGGCCTTATATAGGGTTTTTAAGGCTGTAAATCTTTTTTTTTAAATCACTTTACTAGGGGCTCATACGACTCTTATCACAATCCATACATAAATCAATTGTGTAAAGCACATTTGTACATTCATTGCCCTCATCATTCTCAAAACATTTGCTCTCCACTTAAGCCCCCAGCATCAGGTCCTCATTTTCCCCCTCCCTCCCCTCTCCCCCCTCCCTCATGAGCCCTTGATAATCTATAAATTGTTTACAGGAACAAACAGCCTCATCTTTCTCTTACAGCATCACCAGCAGACCTTGTGTGTTGAGGAGGTAGGACAAGACACCATCATGTGTGCCACCTTCTTTAGACAGCTGAGCCTAAGTTGGAAGATTCTCCTGGATGAGCAGACATAAAACACGCAGCAAATAGGGCCTTCCCTTCTGGGTGGCAATGGCAGGAGCTTAAGGGTCAATGTTACCTGAAGAATTTCTGTGGAGCCCTGGTGGCACAGTGGTTACTCATTGGGCAGCTAAGTTCAAGGTCAGCAGTTCGAAACCACCAGTGGCTCTGTGGGAGAAAGATGAGGCTTTCTGCTCCAATAGAGTTCCAGTCTCGGAAACCCACAGGGGTAATTCTACTTGGTCCTATAGGGTGGCTATGAGTTGGCAGTGAGTGTGGTCTTGGTTTGCCCCTGGGCACCTCTTGCTGACATTGTTAGAATCTGGTGAAGGAGGACAGAGAGGCTGGCCTGGCCCCTATGCTCCTAAGCTTGCTCAGATGTGAACTGGGCAGGCTGGGTAAGTGGGCCTCCCTCAACTGGTAGAAACCATACGAAAGGCTTCCTGACATTACATGAGAAAGTGTTTCTTGCTGGCCATAGTCTGCAGGCCTGGCTCCATGTAAGCAGGTTGGGGTTGCAGACTCATCAGGCCTGTCCCCCCACCGCTCAGCAGTCCTACCTAAGCCACCCTGAAGTCAGCACAGATCACCCACCGGAAACATTTTCCAGGAACTAAGTGTGTACATCCCTCAATGGCCCAGAGCAAGACGTACTGTGGCCAGCAGGCTCGGCCCCAAACCCAACCCTAAATCTTCAGCTCCCAGCCTCAAAATTGCCCGGTACCTGGAAGAGATGGCCCGTAGGAGGGTGAGTCAGCACAGGAAAGGGAGCGAGTGTGTGCATTTGTCTCTGGGGGCAGGAGCACAGCAGACAGCCATCCGCTCCACCGTGGAGCTGAGAATAACTGCCTAAGCCCTGTGCCCTTCCCTCCGCTTCGTCTCTGAAACTCAGGCCTCCCTGGGGCAGCTCCCAGCAAGTTCCCAGCCAGAGCTTTGCCCCAGGAGGGGCTGAGATGACCCCTCTCCCCGCCCACCTTGAGTCCTGCTTCCTGAGTGGCGAAGAGAACATGACGCCAAGCTAGGATCCCACCAGGATTTGGGAAAGAGAGGAATGTGAGCCGAGCCAGTTCTGGTGTGGGATTGAGAGGCCTCTGTCTAGTGAGACACAATGAAATCTCTCTCCCATGGCTGGGACAGTCAAGCTAGTGGCAGCGGATGAAGGGACAGCTCTCTAGGCCCCTCCCTCTCCCCTTCCAAGCAAGGCTTATTGTTCGCTGCGTCCTTAGGGGTAAGCCTTGGTGAGGGTGTGGGAGCCTCGAGGAGTCTGAGGCCCTGTGGTGGCTTCCTCTCACCCCACCCAGCCTGTCTTGGCCCTTTACTGTCTGGAGGACGCCCAGCGCCCTCGCTGCCTTGAGTCGATTCCAACTCACTGTGACCAATAGGACCGGGTAGAACTGGCCCTGTGAATTTCTGAGATGGTAACTCTTCATGGGAGTAGAAAGCCTCATCTCTCCTGAGGAGTGGCTGGTCGTTTTGAACTGCTAACCATGTGGTTAGCAGCCCAAAGTGTAACCACTACACCACCAGGGCTCCCCATCCCGTGCTGGTGGGTACGTGACTCCTGGGTGAGGCAAAGCCTGGCTCCGTGGAGAGAAGACAGTGTTGCCAGCCCTGCTGCTATGGCTGGAAGGCACTGACTCCAGGGTGCCTCCCCAAGCTGTGGGAGGGCTGGGGGAGAGCCTGGCTCAGGATCCCTCTCCCCACCCCACCCCACCGGCAAGGAGGCCAGTTATGTCCCACTTGCTGTGCTGCCAGAGGACCCTTGACCCGAGGTTTCAGCTGTGAGATGGTAGCGGAGGGTTAACCAGGGTCAGGGCCAGGCTGTGGCCATTTGGAAGCAAGTAGTCCTGTGCCTCCCCCACTCCCTAAAGGAGGAGTGCGGACAGTGGGCTTATAGCCTGGGGCGAGGGGCCAGGGATCTGAAGTCAGAAAAGAGTCCTTCTTAACCACAAGACCTAGGGGGTTCTGTCACCGTGTCTGGGTTTGCCTGCCTGAATGGAGCGCACAGTTAGTGCTGTGTGGAGCAGCCCTTTCCCCACAGCCACTTTACAGGTGAGGAGACTGAGGCTGCATAGCCACTGGAGTTGGAGCTGGGATCCTACCCCCAGCAATCCGGCGCTCTGTGCCGGTCATCCTGGCACCCCCTACCCCAGCCCCAACCCCAGCATCTATGGCATCCACGGGACACGCAGAGGCTGGGAAGTGGGCAGGTGTCCACAGGTGCAGAGGCTGCCTTCGGCCACCAGGTGGCGCTAGATCCCTGTTTCTACGCA